AACAGACACACACGGGTTGGGTCGCGAGTGGGTCGCGGGTGGGTCGCGGGTGGGTCGTGGGGTGGGTCGCGGGCGGGTCGCGGGTGGGACGACGACAACAAACAAACAAACAAACAAGCAAACAAACAAACAAACAAACAGACACACAAACAAACAAACAAACAAACGAACAAACAAACAAACAAACAACAACAACAACATCAACAGCAACAACAACAACAACAACAGCAGCAGCAACAACACCACCACCCCCAACAACAACAACAACCAGAACAACAACAACAACAGCAACAACAACAACAACAACAACAACAACAACAACAACAACAACAACAACCACAACACCAACACCAACACCAACAACAACAACAATGGCAACACCAACAACAACAGCAACAACAACATCAACAACAGCAGCAACAACAACAAAAACAACAACACCAACACCAACAACCACATCAACAGCAACAACACCAACAACAACAACAACAACAACACCAACCACAACAACGCAACAAGCAGAAGTCTCACCAATGATCCCCACTTCAACCACGCACCCAGGGACAATGAATGACAGTTCGGCCCCCTCACTCTGACAACGGGCCCGCCGCAAGCGCTGATTTTTCGTTAAACCAATGTGGGTAGGTCGAGGATGGGTCGCAAATGGGTCGCGGGTGGGTCGCTGTTGGGTCGCGGGTGGGTCTTGGGGTGGGTCGCGGGTGAATCGCAAAAAAGTCACTGGTGGGTCGCGGGTGGGTCGCGGAGTGGGTCGCGGGTGGGTCGCGGGTGGGTCGCGGGTGGGTCGCGGGTGGGTCGCGGAGTGGGCCGCGGGTGGGTCGCGGGTTGGGTCGCGGGTGGGTGGCGGGGTGGGTCGCGGGGTGTGTCGTGGGGTGGGTCGAGGGGGGGGTCGCGGGTGGGACGACGACAACCAACAAACAGCAACGCAACAAGCAGAACCCTCACCAGGGATCCCCACTTCAGCCACGCAACCAAGAGCATTGAATGACCGTTCGGCCTCTCACTCTGATGTGTATGCCTTTTCGTATTCTAAACATGACAACATTTGCCGCCGTCCATTCTGTTCGCGTCACGAGGGCTCCGTTCGGGGGCGAGCGAGGGGGGGAACTGAGAAGGAGAAGGCCTCCTCAGGAGGCGGCGGGGCTTCTCAGAAGCCCTCGCGCCTTCTGGGGAATTGTGTTTGTCCTCCGGGAAGACTTAGAACACTTCTCCCGAGGCTGGGTGACTTCCGAACCTTCCGAGAAGGTCGTCTGCTTCCATTTGTTGAAGGCTTTTTTTTACTGGAGGCACACACTTTGGAAGGCACACCTTTTCCGAATGCCAGCTTGCCTCGAAAACACATGTGTTTGTCGTTGGTGACCTGTCTTTTGCCTTCGCCAAGAACGTGTGCCTTCAGTGAGCCTTCAGTGAGCTCATTTACGCCGTGCGGGACCCCCTGGCTGTCGAGAAGGACCCCGCAGAGGCGGATGCGGCGCTCCCCTGTGACGGAGGCGTGGAGGGAGGCGACTGCCGACGCCGTGCCCGACGCGGTTGGACGTGCTGCCCACTGGGCCCCTCGCGCAGAGCTGGCGGGGCCCCTGCGGGAGACGGCGGCTCCATGGTTTCCTATGGATGGGGTCCCCCTCCGCCCCTCCAACGACGGCCTTGTTGGGCCTGGCAACCCAGTGTGGAGCAGGAGCCAGTTCATCTTGCGATGGACATACCACCCGCGTTCCACCAGGCGGATATGCAACGACTTGATTGTCAATATGCGCGGTGACTGGTTCACGGAAGGGGCCACGACGCATGAATAGAATGAGCAGTTGGCTAACATGGTCGAGGAATACACGGCCTACAGGCGCGCCACTGACGCAGGATCCGCACTTGACCCTGGTTCCTGGCAAGATTTCGACATTTCGCCCGACTTGGGAAGGCGAGTGGGAACCGTTCCTGGAAACTTTCCTAGTGATGATTGCAGAAGGCGTAGCGACTGCAACGTATGAGACTCACTTGGCCGCTGCGAGTGAGGTGTCTGCGGACCCCTGAGGGCTGCACCGCAAACTTGATGCAAACTTCTGTTCCTCCCGCCCCCGTACAGTCGGACTTGTTTGGAGAGGGCACGCGAGAGGACACAAGACCCTTCCGAGAGCCACATTGCCACAGGAACGTAGGAGGCGCGGGTCGCGAGACCCAGGACAGAAGGGTACTCTTGCTTTGGCAGGGTCGACCCACTAATCGGGGCCGACTGTATTTCACGCTGGCGGAAGCCATAAAAGGCTCGGAGATACGACCCGGACCCATATAGCTGGCACCGTAAAAACTTTGCTTCTTGTGGAGCTCGGCCCAACATCGGTCGCCCGGCTGCTTTCTGGGGGCCCTCCTCCCCCACGCCTCCCCACGATTTGCAGGAGGACGGGCCCCCCCCGAACAGTGGAGTCCAGCGCCTCCCCAGGGAGACAAAAATAGGCGGCGCGCCCGGGGGGAGCCTTCGGGGGGAGCCTCCGGGAGCCCAGCGGGGCTGGTGTGACCCCGTGTTGACCCCGTGACCCAACGTGACTATGTGGCCCCGTGTTGGCCATGACCACCGCTCAAAATACATGTCGGCGGCGAGCGAAGGTGGGAAAGAGAAGGGACGGCCTTCTCAGAAGGCTCGGGAGTGTCCCAGCCTTCTGATAAGTTTTTAACCCTTTTCCCCCGAAGACAGAGGGCGCGAGGGCTCCTGAGAAGCCCCGCCGCTTTCCGAGGAGGCCTTCTCCTTCTCGCTTCCCCCCCCCCCTCGCTCGCCGCCGAAGACAAACATCGATACCCAGGGTGCGTTTCCTCACAGCCACGAACGCTGCGGCTGCTGGAGTAACACGCTGCGTAAGCAGGAGCCTTCGGAGGCCCGCGCGGATTTCTAGGATCGGCGCCTGATCCCCCTTGCGGCGCCTTCAGCGCCTCCCCTAGCATACCTCGCGCGCTAGGGAAGGGGGTCCAACGCCGATCCAGGAAAACTGCGCGGTCCTCCGAACGTGAATGTTTACGCCCTTTTTACCC